TTCAGTGCGTGAACCCAGTGGATGCATCCAACACATCCTACATGTGCATCCATGTAATCGAGTGCATGTATCCAACACATGTCCAACATGTGCATCCATGTGAATCCAGTGCATGTATCCAACACATGTCCAACATGTGCATCCATGTGCATCCAGTTCATGTTCCCAGTGCATATATCCAACACACGTCCAACATGTGCATCCATGTAATCCAGTGCATGTTCCCAGTGCATGTATCCAAAATGTGCATCCCACACACGGGTCCAATGCATGTTCCCACTGCGTGTGTCAGACACGTGTCCAATTCATTATCCATGTGCATCCAATCCATGTTCCCACTGCCTGTCTCCCATACGTGCACTCAATTCGTGTATTCAATATGTGCATCAATGCATGTTCCCAATGGATGCATCCAATGCATGTTCCCAATGGATGCATCCAACACATGTCCAATGTTTATCCATGTCCATCCATGTTCCCAGTGCATGTATCGAACATGTGCATCCATGTTCCCAGTGCACGTATCCAACATGTACATCCACTGCATGGATCCAACATGTGCATCCCATGCATGTACCCAATGGATGCATCCAACATGTGTGTCCAACACGTGCATCCCATGCGTGTACCCAATACATGGATCCAACACACACATCCAACCTGTGTGTCCAACACCTGCATTCCACACAGCTTCCAGCACGGAGTCTAACACCTCCATTCCACATGGAGCCCCCTCCCCATGCCCCCAGCAGCACAGAGGGACATCCCAGCCCCCAAACCCGCATCCCCCCCCCAGCCCCTGCTGCGGCGCCGCGGTCCCGCATTCCCCCCTCCCCGTCCGCGGGCAGGGGCTCGCTGCCCATCTGCCATTTCCAACCTGCCTCCCACCTTCCCGTGCCCTGATTTCCTCCTTGGCTGCTCTGGGAGAAGGATTTCTCCCGGCACAGCAGGGTCACGGCGAGGGTAACTGCGTTAGCGCAGCTCCAGGACGGATGGGGCTGTTGGAGCAGAGTCTCGCTGCCATTTGTACTCCGGCTTTCGCTCCGAGGGCTGGGAGCAGCCTCTGGATTCATCTGCTCTGCTCCCGGGCCCTGAGACAGCACAGATAGATTTTCTAAGAGCCGTCCTTTTCCATAAAAAATATTTGATGGCGGTATTGACAGACCCACCGATGGAGAAGGGCAAGGAAATATTTCCAAATGGTTTATCTGGCAGCTGTGGATTTCAGCTCATGTTGCTTATTGACCTCTAATTGTTTCCAGTAGTAGCGGGAGACAGGAAGATCAATAGGGATGGGAGGGAGTTAATACCCTCCCGGTGCACTTAACTGTAGTTGGGAAACACTGGAATTCATCTTCCTGGGATTTTTAGCACGTTTGTAACTGAAACATTGGGCAACGGTGTCTGGGACTGCTCTGTGAGCTGGTTCTGTGCAGAGACTTAATTCCTCCTCACCTGGTCCTGGGGCTCGGAGCAGCCTCGTGGTTCTCCAGCTGCCCTTCCCTGGAGCTTTAGAAATTCAGGAGACCCTGATCTGGGGGGAAGATGCAAATAAACTCTTCTCCCAAAGAGCCTGAGCAGCTCCTTTGTTCCACACTGTGGGGTTGGGGTGTTTGTGGGGTACAGTCCAAATGTGAGGCTTTCCTAGGAAATTAGGATGCACACACCCACCCCCGAGGAATTTTGAGCAGTCATAGAACCATCAGAAAATCCTGGAATGGTTTGGGTGAGAAGGGACCTTAATGAACATCCTGTTCCACCCCCTGCCATGGACAGGGACATCTTCCACTAGCCCAGGTTGCTCCAAGCCCTGTCCAACCTGGCCTTGGACACTTCCAGGGATCCAGGGGCAGCCACAGCTTCTCTGGGCAACCTGTGCCAGGGCCTCCCCACCCTCCCAGCCAGGAATTCCTTCCCAAGACCCTGGAGAGGCTGGGAGAGGGGGACAGCAGAGACTTTGGGATGGAGATGGAGAGAGGTGCAGAGAGGGACCAGTCTGCAGGGGTCGGGAAGAAGGGGGATGCGCTGGGTGATCCCTCAACCTGCCCTGGGGTGGGAGCCGGTGGCCACACCCTCCTGGGCCACCTGTGGGGCCACCAGCAGTCCCCTGGGGATGCCTTTCTGCCGGGCTGGAGGCAGTGGCAGAGCTGCAGGTGCCGGGTGATTGTTCCCGGTGGGGCCCCCCCGGCTCCTGTCACCAGGAATCACGGCAGAGCCGTAATCTTTCATTAGCGCATTCAGCACTAATTGCTGGCAGGATGCCACGTGCCTATTTTCTCATTTTAACAAAACATTTATGCATGAAAGATTTAATGCCAGGTATCAAGCATATCATTGTAAATTTACCACTAATTAAGCCTAATTAAAATAATTAAATGGCTGCGGAGTCACAATGTGAATTAAAATCACATTTCCTCTCGTGTGCGTGCCCCTCTCCTCACTGCCCTCACTTCGGCTTCCACACGCAAATATTTTCCCATTCGGATGCACGGGAAGCGTTGGTGTGGCAGAGGGACTTCATCCTTCCCACAATGCCGGGATCTGGGGGAAGTTTTTCAATTCCGGGACCTCTGGAGGTTCTCCTTGCCGTGGATGAAGTATGGACAATTTGACAAATCTGTTCCTCGGAGCAGTCGCTGCCTTTTGCATATTCATTACTCATCGGGTTTTTAATCAAAGTCGCTGATGGACCCTTTGCACCACAAATAACTCGGTCATGAATAATTGATGGTGTTTAGCTGGGTCGGGGTGCGGGGGGCGCTCCTGGCACCACATGGCGCTGCAGATGTTCGGGTTTCACATGTGCACAGCTCATCAAACCCAGCCCCGGGCGGGGCCGTCCCTCGGCTCGCCATCTGCCGAACCGGAGCCCGGGAATTGTGGGAGAGGGGCTGGGTTCCTTTGCCGCTGCTTCCTCCCCTTTGCCTTTGGCTGGAGAGCTCCAGGCAGGGCTCCTGCCCTGCTCGCCCAGCTGCGGGTGACCAGGGGGCTGGGCAGCTCCAGGGGATGCTCTGGATGGGGCTCCAGGAACTCCAGGGGATGCTCTGGATGGGGCTCCAGGAA